CTCTCTTTCAGGGCAAGGTGGTACCGTCAAAAAACGGAACTCGTCGGTGCACTTTCATCGGTTTATGCGCCCAGTTTTTTCGATTGACGTAAACCAGGCTCGCGTACGATTTAGGAGACGCACGACTTTCTTCTTCTTCTTCTCTTGAACGTCTCACGTACCCCGCCTGGCGTAGCGTGGTCCTGCTGTTGGGTGCTCATTCGGTCATCTATAATTAGGCACTTCACTTTTACCTCCTCTTAACGATCCAACCACTCTTGGAGTGCCATTCTTAATTTCTCGTGGTATTGGGAAAGAGAAAATGATTTTTTTTTCTTCAACAAGAGAAATTTCTCTTTCTCATCTCGGAATTTGTTGTGATTCTTGATTCTTAACAACGACAATAACACTTTAACATTAATGATCTTTATAAGCAAATTAATTAAAATTAAAATGATCTTCATTACAAATTCAATTAGTCGATTGTAAAGTAACATTTTTAGTAAGAACAAAGCTACTTTTTACGTTCTTAAACGTAAACAATTCTCTATTAAGAGAGCTAATTGCTCACATATATAACTGAATGCTTAAAATAAATAACTGTAAAATTTAATGTCAGGATATTGCGCGGTTCTATACAATTTTCTTGCAAGAAAAAGAAATGTTTAGATTGAAAATAAATATATACGTTAGACAATAGGATAGTCGACGAAATCCCCGCGCTTCTTACAGTTGTTAATGTATTCTAAAGATATTCATAGGCTATTCTTTGCCGATTGTCTCAAACAACATCAATCTGCAAATAATCGTCTTTATTTCGCGGTTTTGCCACTCAATTAATAAATTAAAAAGCCGCATACCGACGAGAACAGGCCTATTACGAAGTTAATTCTTCTCTGACGCCGACCGTTTACGACCCCGGCACATTCAGATAAATCCGTCCTTAATCAATTAAATACCCGATTCGTGTTGTTCCTTTTCGGTCCGCGACGTTTCGTTTACGACTTCCGATATATAACAGTTTTTTATCTATTTTCCGCAAGTTAACAATAAAAATTGCGTTATCTTAATATTTAATCGGATATTTAAAGATGGAATTTATAAAGAAAAATTCTTGAAATGTTTTGCATCCCCTCCTTCTATTTTTGCATATTTAAGTTAATCTTTACGGTACCCAATTATCGTTCCAAGACGTCGCTAATGATTTAATTCGTCGTAAAAGCTCGAAACGCCGCGGTACTGATTAGGCTCCGCTGAAACGTCCTTCGGTTCGGAATCGGTTTGAATAATTTGCCCATTGGTGTTAATAAAAAAATTAAGAAAAATAAAATAAACGAGAAAAACGATCGATTTCCGTCGCTGCCGTGCGGTCGATATCTTTTCTCTCCTCGCGCTATATACAGTTGTAATCGTAAAGCAAAACAGTAAAATCCTAATAAGTGCAGTGGCTTTTAGCTGTTATCGGTAAAACGACCGAGCCGTCCGCTATTAGCTTCTCACCTACCGTGTGATTACGCCCCAGGTGTGTAACCGAAATGATGGAAATCAATTTACAAAAAATTTATTTTATAAAGTGCCTTTTAAGAAATTGTCGAAATAGTTTAGGAATTTTTATTCTTAAAATCTATAAAAGTTTATTTAAAAAAAAAATTAATTAATTCATTAAATTCTAGGCATGTCAAAATGACGTTTCATTAAACAAAAAGTTACTAGGAGTGTTATAATTATTTTTGCGTTTCATGTTGGTAACAATTTTACTTTGACGTTTAATTAACCTAATACACGCAGACGTTCGTAGCGAATTGTCAGTCCGTAATTGTCAATAGAAACGATCGTCGGGCAAAAGATGGCGTTAGTTAAAAGTAACTTAACCCATTCGCATTATTAGCTAAGATATTTGCGGAATAACTAAAACTAGAATTAATACTAAAACTAGAACTAATAGTAAATCTAGAACTACAAACATTCGGGTTTAGCCGTCTTGAGAGACGTACGGCTGGTTTAACAGTTTTTAATCCCAAATATTTCTAGTTCTAGGTCTAGTGTTAGTTCCAGTTTTAATTTTAGAAGTAACACTAGACCTAGAGTTAAACACATTCGTGTCCTAAAAAGTAATAACTCCAAATACCTGTCACAACCGTTTCTCTGTTCCTAGTGATATATAGCATAAATCCCCAAAATGTCAAAATAGGATGGATTTCTTAATAAAATCAATTATAACCTAAGTACTAAAACTGATGAAGAAAGACACTATGAATAAAAAATATTCCTAATGCAGCAATAAATCATAATCCTCACTTATATCATATTTATCTATCACCAGTTTTCGTTGATATAGAATAAATCACAAAATGTCAAAATTGGACGATTTTTTTTTAATTAACTACAACGTAAGAACTAAAACTGGTGGAGAAAAACGTTATGAATAAAAAATATTCCTAATGCATCAATAAGTTACAATCTGCACTTATTTCATATTTATCTATCACCAGTTTCTAGTGATATAGAATAAATCACAAAATGTCAAAATTGGACGATTTTTCTCAATAAAATCGATTATAACGTAAAAACTAAAGCTGATGGAGAAAAACGTTATCAATAAAAAATATTCCTAATGCACCAAGAAATCATAATCCACACTTATATCATATTTATCTATCACCAATTTTTAGTGATATAGCATACATTACAAAATGTCAAAATTGGACGAATTTTCTTAATAAAGTCAACTACAACCTAAGTACTAAAACTGATGGAGAAAGACGTTATGAATATAAAATAATCAATAAATCATAATCCACACTTATTTCACATTTATCTATCACCAGTTTCTAGAGATATAGCATAAATCACAAAATGTTAAAATTGGACGATTTTTTTAATAAAATCAATTATAATCTAATTACTATAATTGATGAAGAAAGACGCTATGAATAAAAAATGTTCCTTATTGATCAATAAATCATGATCCACACTTATTTCATATTTATCTATCACCAATTTCTAGTGATATAGCATATATCCCCAAAATTTCAAAATTGGACGATTTTTTTATAAAATCAATTGTAATCTAATTACTAAAACTGATAGACAAAGACGTTATGAATAAAAAATGTGTCTTATGCATCAATAAATCATACTCCAGACATACTTCATATTTATCTATCACCAGTTTCTAGTGATATAGCATAAATCACAAAATGTCAAAATTGGACATTAGCATTGGATTTTTCTTAATAAAATCAACTATAACTTAAGTACTAAAACTGATGGAGAACGTCGTTATGAATAAAAAGTATTCCTAATGCATCATGAAATTATAATCCAGACTTATTTCATATTTATCTATCACCAGTTTCTAGTGATATAGCATAAATCACAATATGTCAAAATTGAACAATTTTTTCTAGTAAAACCAACTATAACGTGAGTACTAAAACTGATGGAGAAAGACGTTATGAATAAAAAATATTCCTGATACATCAAGATGTCATAACCCATACTTATTTCATATTTATCTATCACCAACTTCTAGTGATATAGCATAAACCACAAAATGTCAAAATTGGACGATTTTTTTAATAAAATCAACTACAACCTAAGTACTAAAACTGATAGAGAAAAACGTTATGAATAAAAAATATTCCTAATGCATCAATAAAATATAATCCGCACTTATTTCATATTTATCTATCACCAGTTTCTAGTGATATAGCATAAATCACAAAATGTCAAAATTGGACGATTTTTCATAATAAAATCAATTACAACGTAAGAACTAATTCTGATGGAGAAAGACGGTATGAATAAAAATATTCTTAATGCATCAATAAGTCATAATCCAGGCTTATTTCATATTTATCTGTCACCAGTTTCTAATGATATAGCATAAATCACAAAATGTCAAAATTGGACGATTTTTCTTAATAAAATCAACTACAACCTAAGTACTAAAACTGATGGAGAAAAACGTTATGAATAAAAAATATTCTTAATGCATCAATAAAATACAATCCGCACTTATTTCATATTTATCTATCACCAGTTTCTAGTGATATAGCATAAATCACAAAATGTCAAAATTGGACGATTTTTCTTAATAAAATCAACTACAACGTTAGAACTTAAACTGACGGAGGAAGACGTTATGAATAAAAAATATTCCTAATGTATCAAAAAATCATAATCCGCACTTATATCATATTCATCTATCACCAGATTCTAATGATATAGCATAAATCATAAAATGTCGAAATTGGACGATTTTTCATAATAAAATCAATTACAACGTAAGAACTAAATCTGATGGAGAAAGACGGTATGAATAAAAATATTCTTAATGCATCAATAAGTCATAATCCAGGCTTATTTCATATTTATCTATCACCAGTTTCTAATGATATAGCATAAATCATAAAATGTCGAAATTGGACGATTTTTCATAATAAAATCAATTACAACCTAAGTACTAAAACTGATGGAGAAAAAAAACGTTATGAATAAAAAATGTTCTTAATTCATCAATAAAATATAATTCGCACTTATTTTATATTTATCTATCACCAGTTTCTAGTGATATAGAATAAATCACAAAATGTCAAAATTGGACGATTTTTCTTAATAAAATCAACCACAACGTAAATACTAAAACTGATAGAGAAAGACGTTATGTATCAAAAATATTCCTAATACATCAATAAATCATAATCCAGACTTATTTCATATTTATCTATCACCAGTTTCTAATGATATAGTATAAATCACAAAATATCAAAATTGGACGATTTTTATATTCATGAATTATCTGGAACATTTAAGAACTTCATTGAATATCCAAAAATGTCTAATAATTTCCAGGTTGTCTCAGATGATTTACAAGAAAGACAACATTTCAACATTGATTAAATTACGATTACGTCTCAATTACTCGGTATCATTTATGGAAAAATAGGGCGTCGCCGTAACGATAAATAATAAATGAAATTTTATTTGAAATCAATGAATTAATTTAAACGACTTACCTTTAAAATGCATTTTCCTTCGGCGATATTTTCCGCAACGGAAACGTTGTAAAAACTTTGATCGAAGATGGGTTCGTTGTCGTTGACGTCATGAATAGTTACGTGAACCGTTGCGGAAGAAGACAACGGTGGAAAACCATTATCGGTCGCGATCACCGTCAACTTTGGCACCGGATCGGTTTCACAATCGACGTGCACCTTCGTTGTCACTAAACCACTACGCGGATCAATTTGAAACCACGAATAATGAGTATCGGACGTTTCGGCTAACGAATAGGTGATCGCGCTATTATTGCCTTCATCTTTATCGGTCGCGGACACTTGGATAACACTCGTTCCCGGATCGGAAATTTCCATAACATTCGCTTGATAAACATCTTTTTCGAATTCCGGTGCGTTATCGTTAATATCGGTCACTTTTAATAAAATTGTTCTCGATGCGTGAAGCGGTGGTGTTCCGGTATCGGTTGCAACCACATTTAAAGTATAATTCGGTTGGATTTCGCGATCCAACGGAAGAGAAACGATCACTAAATATATGATATTATCTCGAGTTGTTAAACCGAAATGTCCTTCGCCACCATCTAACGTTACGTTAATGTTTGAGTATTCCGTTTTTGAATCGGGATCGTTCACCGAGATTCGTGCAACAAATTCGCCTGGTTGGGCGGATTCCGATATTTTCGGGGTTGCGTCATCGCTTAAAAAGATGACGGTAATCGTCGGTTGGTTATCATTAACATCGGTCACTTTAATCGAGACGAAAGCCGTCGTTTCTAGCGGTTGTAACCCCCGATCTCTCGCTACTATCACCAATTCGTGAAGTTCTTTAGTTTCGAAATCTAACGGTTTATTTACTGATATAAACCCGGTCGTTGAATCAATTCGAAACATTACATCTTTATCGCTTTGTCTGCGATTAATTGAATATTCGACTTTTCCGTTTTCGTTGGAATCGGTGTCCGTTGCGAAAACTTGTAAGACGGTTGTTCCAACGGTTGCGTTTTCGGGAATTGTCGCGAAATATCTGCTTTGATTAAAAATCGGTTGGTTATCGTTGACGTCTTGAATCGTGATGTTAACCATCATTTCGCCCCTTAAAGGTGGGGTTCCCCCATCTAAAGCTTCGATTAATAAACTGTACGAAGCAATCGATTCGCGATCTAAAAATCCGTTTATTTGGAGATCCAAATATAAAACGCTGTCTCGTTCTCGATGCGCGCTCAATCGAAAAGCATTGTTGACGTTTCCCGATACAATGTTGTATCTTTGAGTGTTGTATTGATCCAAATCCAAATCTTTCGCTGGGTGTAAAGTTCTTTTAACGTCTAACGGGGTGTTTTCGGGAAAATCGATGGTCATCACGCCAACGGGAAACGTTGGGGCGTTATCGTTTTCGTCTAAAACTTTGATGTGGACTTGTATGTTATAACCGCTTATCGTGATTGCGACTAACGAGTAACTCGAACGAGTTTCTCGATCTAAAAGAACTTTCGTGCTAATTTCACCAGTTGTCAAATCGATTAATAGGTCGGTGTTGACGCTGTTACCAACCGGAACTACTAAATAAGGCGGCCCGCTATCGGTGGTGACACCTTCCTCGATGAATCCGATTCTGGTACCAACGGGAGCACCTTCGGACACCTCTAGGTCCCTTACCAATTCCGAGCGGGCCAAAGCCAGCAAGAGCGGCAATAGGATCCAGAAAGGCTCCATCTTCGACACTTTTCTGGCGGATTATCGCGGAGGCGCTCCCATCCTGTAATTGAAATTAAAATTAAAATAACTAAACATTTTTAATAACGGAACTTTAGTATCTTTAGATTTATAATTAGATAATAATTAATTTCGAAAGTTAATTACGATAAATCGTTGTTAATGTAGTTTCAAGGTGTGTTTAATAAATTTTATTGATCAATTTTTGCGTTAATACAATTTATAACATTTTAGCCGAACAGGATCTCGATTAAACCTAAAATCGATGATTTTATGATATTGTTTTATTAAGACAATAAAATATTAGACATTTCCCATCCAAATTAATTAATATATTAAATCACCGAAATTATTTGCGGCCGAGGGGCTACAATTTATACCACTTCAACCAAAAAGGAACCTCGGCTGAACTTGAAATGATGATTATTGTTGATATTGTATGATAATGTTTTGTTAGGGTGAGGTTGCTTCAATTAATACCATATTCTCGCTAAATTAGTTGATATATTGAAGAGGTCGCTTGCGGGCGAGGCGCTACAATTTATAACATATTACACCACCTAAACCGAAAAGGACCTCGGATAAACATAAAACGATGATTATATGATATTATTTTATGAATGTGAGTTTGCTTGTAATCGAAGAACTTCAATTAATATCATATCTCCGCAACATTAGTTGATATATTAAAGCGCCGAGGTCGCTTGCGGGCGAGGCGCTACAATTTATAACGTATTACATCCGAAATGAACCTCAGTTAAATGTAAAACGATTTTTATATGATATTGTTTTGTTAAGGTGAGGTTGCTTAAAATCTACTCATTTCAATTAATACTATATCCCCGTTAAATTAGTTGATATATTAAAGCGCCGAGGTCGCTTGCGAGCGAGGCGCTACAATTTATAACGCATTACATCCGAAATGAACCTCAGTTAAATGTAAAACGATTTTTATATGATATTGTTTTGTTAAGGTGAGGTTGCTTAAAATCTACTCAATTCAATTAATACTATATCCCCGTTAAATTAGTTGATATATTAAAGCGCCGAGGTCGCTTGCGGGCGAGGCGCTACAATTTACAACGTATTACATCCGAAATGAACCTCAGTTAAATGTAAAACGATTTTATATGGTATTGTTTTGTTAAGGTGAGGTTGCTTAAAATCTACTCAATTCAATTAATACTATATCCCCGTTAAATTAGTTGATATATTAAAGCGCCGAGGTCACTTGCGGGCGAGGCGCTACAATTTATAACATATTACACCACCTAAACCGAAAAGGACCTCGGATAAACATAAAACGATGATTATATGATATTGTTTTATGAATGTGAGTTTGCTTGTAATCGAAGAACTTCAATTAATATCATATCTCCGCAACATTAGTTGATATATTAAAGCGCCGAGGTCGCTTGCGGGCGAGGCGCTACAATTTATAACGTATTACATCCGAAATGAACCTCAGTTAAATGTAAAACGATTTTTATATGATATTGTTTTGTTAAGGTGAGGTTGCTTAAAATCTACTCAATTCAATTAATACTATATCCCCGTTACATTAGTTGATATATTAAAGCGCCGAGGTCGCTTGCGGGCGAGGCGCTACAATTTACAACGTATTACATCCGAAATGAACCTCAGTTAAATGTAAAACGATTTTATATGGTATTGTTTTGTTAAGGTGAGGTTGCTTAAAATCTACTCAATTCAATTAATACTATATCCCCGTTAAATTAGTTGATATATTAAAGCGCCGAGGTCACTTGCGGGCGAGGCGCTACAATTTATAACATATTACACCACCTAAACCAAAAAGGACCTTGGATAAACATAAAACGATGATTATATGATGTTGTTTTATGAATGTGAGTTTGCTTGTAATCGAAGAACTTCAATTAATATCATATCTCCGCAGCATTAGTTGATATATTAAAGCGCCGAGGTCGCTTGCGGGCGAGGCGCTACAATTTCTAACGTATTACATCCGAAATGAACCTCAGTTAAATGTAAAACGATTTTATATGATATTGTTTTGTTAAGGTGAGGTTGCTTAAAATCTACTCATTTCAATTAATACTATATCCCCGTTAAATTAGTTGATATATTAAAGCGTCGAGGTCACTTGGGGGCGAGGCGCTACAATTTATAACATATTTCACCACCTAAACCAAAAAAGACCTCGGATAAACATAAAACCATGATTATATGATATTGTTTTATGAATGTGAGTTTGCTTGTAATTGAAGAACTTCAATTAATATCATATCTCCGCAACATTAGTTGATATATTAAAGCGCCGAGGTCGATTGCGGGCGAGGCGCTACAATTTACGACGTATTACATCCGAAATGAACCTCAGTTAAATGTAAAACGATTTTTATACGATATTGTTTTGTTAAGGTGAGGTTGCTTAAAATCTACTCATTTCAATTAATACTATATCCCCGTTAAATTAGTTGATATATTAAAGCGCCGAGGTCACTTGCGGGCGAAGGGCTACAATTTATAACATATTACACCACCTAAACCAAAAAGAACCTCGGATAAACATAAAACGATGATTATATGATATTGTTTTATGAATGTGAGTTTGCTTGTAATCAAAGAACTTCAATTAATATCATATCTCTGCAACATTACTTGATATATTAAAGTGCCAAGGTCGCTTGCGGGCGAGGCGCTACAATTTATGACGTATTACATTCGAAATGAACCTCAGTTAAATGTAAAACGATTTTTATATGATATTGTTTTGTTATGGTGAGGTTGCTTCAATTAATACCATATTCTCGCTAAATTAGTTGATATATTAAAGCGACGAGGTCGCTTGCGGGCGAGGCGCTACAATTTATAACATATTACACCACCTAAACCGAAAAGGACCTCGGATAAACATAAAACGATGATTATATGATATTGTTTTATGAATGTGAGTTTGCTTGTAATCGGAGAACTTCAATTAATATCATATCTCCGCAACATTAGTTGATATATTAAAGCGCCGAGGTCGCTTGCGGGCGAGGCGCTACAATTTACGATGTATTACACCAGCTAAACCGAAAAGGACCTCGGTTAAACATAAAACGATGATTTATAATGTATTACATCCCCTCAACCAAAATGAACCTCAGTTAAATGTAAAACAATTTATATAATATTGTTTTGTTATTGTGAGGTTGGTTGTAATCTAGGAGCTTCAATTAATATCATATCTCCGCAAAATTAGTTGATGTATTAAAATACAACTACAATTTATAACGTATTACATCACTTCAACCAATAGGGACCTCGGTTAAACCTAAAGCGATGATTGTATGATATTGTTTTATATCTCTGACATTGCTTACACCATAGATACTTCAATAAATACCATATCTCATCTAAACTACTTAACATATCGACAATAGGCGATAATTTATAACACATCATAGAATCTCATAACACATCTATGATGTAGTTTTATTAAGCTTGAGGTTGTTTCAATTAATACCATATGCAGTCTAAATTAGTTAATATATTAATAATATTGCAAAGATCGCTCGCGGCTACCTAAATTGACAAGATAATGAGTTGGGATCATTTAAATAAAGATGTTATTATACAAATAAGAATTTCTTGAGTAATAAAAGTAGTCTTCGAATGTATTAATTAAAAATCGGAAAAGTTTATCCGCCTATTAATACACCATCTGTTGGCGAGTTTCTTATTAATATGCAGGAATAATTACCCGAGGGGATATTTTCAATTACCGTTTGTCGTAATTAATCGATCGAAATGGTGTCACTTTGGGATTGTGTCACAATCGATTAAAGTAAGACCTGGTAGGAGTTTTTAAAACGAAAAGTAACGATAAATCAGTTCGTTTCCGATGTTATTCAATCTACGGGATTATTATGATGGGTTTTATTACGCGACCGGGAGACCGCGCCACTTAATTATACACGACACGAATCTATTTACGATTATTTATGGGGGCCCCATTGTGGCCGCCGAATCGTCGTTTTATCTTTGATAATTAAAGGCGCTCGAGTCGAGATATCGTAATTATCGCCGCGATTTCCTCAAATGTTTATTGCGCTTAATAAGGAGTTTCCAGTTTCATCTCTCGAGGACCTTACGGGCAATAGTCCAGGGATAATTGCTTTCGGGGGCCCCGAAGGTGTTGCCAACCGAAGGTTACTTAGAACCTCCAAGTCTAGCAGTAGTTACCTGGCCCTATAGGTAACGTTTTTCTACCTACAGTTTTACCCTCCAAAAGAACCGTAGGGCTAATGAGTAGAACAAAAATATACTATTCACCTTGAAAACATCTCGAATTAAAAAACGAAAATCTTTTAAATCCTTTTTAATAATTTTAATCGCGATTTTATTTCAAATCATAAAATCTACCTTTTATACTTTAGTTCTTCCCAAGACGAAGAGGCTTCCGAACTCGGAACCCTAACATGTAATTAGAATATCCTCTGCGAGCTTCAACACATGTAGAAGAAGAAGCACCGCAGCACGTCTTATGTCCGCGTACATACACGCGTTTACATAAACAATTCGCGAACAAAAAAGAACCAAATTCAAAAATAATCACTTCACATAAAAGAAAATTCAACGACGCGGCACAATAATCTCCCTCAACGCATTCGGAGTCGCCGAAAAACTCGCCCAAATCCTCCGGTTTTCAAAATCGGAACGAGAGGTCGCGCGCGTCGCGTCGTTCCCGCTGCGTCTCTTCAGTTGGACTGACTGGCAAAAGGCGACTGCAATGCCCTCTCAGCATTCCAAGCTGCCTCCCGCCGCGCCTCTGTAACCTGTCCCGGCCAACACACACACACACACGCGCGGCCGCACGTACGCGAGGAGAAGGCCCCGCTCCGTTCGGCTTCGCAAGACAAGGGGGGGACACAACTCGAAGGCCCCAAGAGGAGAATGGAAGGGCGAGGGATGAGGAAAGAAGACGGAGGCCGCGACGGCGGCGGCAAGTTTGAAAGCGGAGACCGGGAACGGGCCATTGTCCAAACGGCTGAGGGGCCCCCGGCCCTATTGTCTTGTCTATTTGGCGACTGTCGCGTTACTCTCCGCGAAGGACCCGACGGGGTAATGTATGCGACAGTGGGGACGAAAGGGACGAAATTGAAACGCCCCCTCAAATCCCCCCAAATAAAAAACTTTTTTTCTTCAGGTTCAACAAAAAAAAACAGAATTTTCTGAATCCATATTCGCGGTAAGTTGTGGTAACCCAAATGATGGATAAGCGACGAACCCCTTTTTTTTAACATCATGCTGCGAAAATTTGCATGACATTATGATGTCATCTATGATCTGTGAGCAACCATGGGATCTCCGTTACAACGAGTTGTCATTAACTTCTATATATATTCTATATATATTTGAAAACCAAAGTTATATGGCTATGATAACTATATATATATATAATTTTTTTCTATGATAAGAATAACAGATAATTTATTTTTGTTCACTAACATAAAAATTTTTTTAAAGATAAAGTGTTGGTAATTGATGAATAATTTAAGGCGAATGGGTTTATATCTATACGATTAACATTTTCTCATAATATTTAATATCCAACCGCAAGCTTTTATTACCACTTATTATTACCAGTTTTTGTTAGGTGTAATTTCCAAGTAATCGCTAATTCCATACGATCGATAACCATTCTCTGTTATTCTAGACGCGAGTCGTACATAGTAGGTCTTTGATTTTCTGTAAATTTCTGTGACGAATTCCGAAGCCTAAATACCAGAACGCCGAGTTTCTATACTCAACAAAATAGAAATACAGTTATGCGATTTATTACTATTACTACCAGAAAGCTACCCAAGAAGCCAGATTGTTGCTTTTACGTTTCCATTCCCGGTCGCACTCATTGTTTATCATCATACATAATAAATGTACATCGTGGTTACGAAAAATAAACTTCATTTAGAATTAAAAAGAAATTTTGATAGCTAAATCGATTTATATAGATAATTTTAGCTCAAAATGGCTCTAAATGGTTTAAATTAGGATGATTCAATTAAAAAAAGAATTTTATTGGGTTTTGAAAGTGTTTCAAAGTTGCTAAAAGCTAGAAAAAGGTTGTTGGTGTGTGTCAAAATTATTCTAATCGTCAAAAATCATCTTGAGGATACTTGATAAGGAGAAAATACGTTAAAATAATTAAATGGAATGTTATCCATAATTTTGAAAAAAGTCAAAAAATGGAAGTAATTGATTATTTTGGTTTAGATTGTTGTTTATTTTTATAGAATAAAAGTAGAACTAACACAGACGTGGTTCCTTAAATATCCAATGATGCAAATGCGTTAAGTTATTATGATTTAATACAAAAAATTAAATCAAGTTTTTATAACCAATTTTAAGTTTAATAACTTTACAGACTCATAATTATTTGACTTTTAAACGTCATTTGACAATTAAACGTCAATATTGTTAAAAATCTAGATCTCAAAAAACTCAAAAATCAGTTAATTTTATGTAAAAAATCTTATGGAAATACTAAAATTAGCGAAAAATATTACTATAAATCAAAAAAGTTATAAAAAGCTGGTATGAAATATTCGATATTAAAAGTTTTCCAAAAATTTTGGTTGGTACCATTTTTGTTGTGGTTTTTAAAAATGTCAAAGTGACGTTTAACGTTTCGATGACATTTGTATGTCAAAATTATTAAAAAAATCAAAAACGGTTATAAATAGAACAAGAAAAATAAAATATCAATAAGAAAGTTAGATGGAAAACTATAGCATTTATCAAATTATCAGAATGAAATAATTAACACCATTATTGTAAAATTATCTGTACAAAAAGTAAAAATTTTTGACTTTTAAACGTCAACTTGACAATTAAACGTCAACATCTTTAGAGACGTGCGGCTAAATCCAAATGATTCTAGTTATAGAGTTAGTTCTACATAGTAACAGTTCTAGTGTAAAACTAGAACTAACACTAGACCTAGAACTAGAATCATTCGGGTTTAGCCATCTTTAGAGATGTACTGCTAAACTCAAATGATTCTAGTTTTATGTATAGTGTTAGTTCTACATAGTAACAATGCTAGTGTAAAACTAGAACTAACATTATACCTAGAGCTAGAATCATTCGGGTTTAGCCGTCTTTAGAGACGTGCGGCTAAACCCAAATGATTCTAGTTATACTATTAGTTCTACATAGTAACAGTGCTAGTGTAAAATTAGAACTAACACTAGACCTAGAACTAGAATCATTCGGGTTTAGCCATCTTTAGAGATGTGCTGCTAAACTCAAATGATTCTAGTTTTATGTATAGTGTTANATGATCTGTGAGCAACCATGGGATCTCCGTTACAACGAGTTGTCATTAACTTCTATATATATTCTATATATATTTGAAAACCAAAGTTATATGGCTATGATAACTATATATATATATAATTTTTTTCTATGATAAGAATAACAGATAATTTATTTTTGTTCACTAACATAAAAATTTTTTTAAAGATAAAGTGTTGGTAATTGATGAATAATTTAAGGCGAATGGGTTTATATCTATACGATTAACATTTTCTCATAATATTTAATATCCAACCGCAAGCTTTTATTACCACTTATTATTACCAGTTTTTGTTAGGTGTAATTTCCAAGTAATCGCTAATTCCATACGATCGATAACCATTCTCTGTTATTCTAGACGCGAGTCGTACATAGTAGGTCTTTGATTTTCTGTAAATTTCTGTGACGAATTCCGAAGCCTAAATACCAGAACGCCGAGTTTCTATACTCAACAAAATAGAAATACAGTTATGCGATTTATTACTATTACTACCAGAAAGCTACCCAAGAAGCCAGATTGTTGCTTTTACGTTTCCATTCCCGGTCGCACTCATTGTTTATCATCATACATAATAAATGTACATCGTGGTTACGAAAAATAAACTTCATTTAGAATTAAAAAGAAATTTTGATAGCTAAATCGATTTATATAGATAATTTTAGCTCAAAATGGCTCTAAATGGTTTAAATTAGGATGATTCAATTAAAAAAAGAATTTTATTGGGTTTTGAAAGTGTTTCAAAGTTGCTAAAAGCTAGAAAAAGGTTGTTGGTGTGTGTCAAAATTATTCTAATCGTCAAAAAACATCTTGAGGATACTTGATAAGGAGAAAATACGTTAAAATAATTAAATGGAATGTTATCCATAATTTTGAAAAAAGTCAAAAAATGGAAGTAATTGATTATTTTGGTTTAGATTGTTGTATATTTTTATAGAACTAAAAGTAGAACTAACACAGACGTGGTTCCTTAAACATCCGATGATGCAAATGAATTAAGTTATTATGATTTAATACAAAAAATTAAATAATCAAGTTTTTATAACCAATTTTAAGTTTAATAACTTTACACTCACAATTATTTGACTTTTAAACGTCAATTTGACAATTAAACGTCAATATTGTTAAAAATCTAGCTCTCAAAAAACTCCAAAATCAGTTAATTTTATGTAAAAAATCTTACGGAAATACTAAAATTAGCGAAAAATATTACTATAAATCAAAAAAGTTATGAAAAAACTGGTATGAAATATGCGATATCAAAAGTTTTTCAAAAATTTAGGTTGGTACCATTTTTGTTGTGGTTTTTAAAAATGTCAAAGTGTCGTTTAACGTTACGATGACATTTGTATGTCAAAATTATTAAAAAAATCAAAAACGGTTATAAATAGAACAAGAAAATAAAATATCAATAAGAAAGTTAGATGGAAAACTATAGCATTTATCAAATTATCAGAATGAAATAATTAACACCATTATTGTAAAATGATCTGTACAAAAAGTAAATTTTTTACTTTTAAACGTCAACTTGACAATTAAACGTCAACATCTTTAGAGACGTGCATCTAAATCCAAATGATTCTAGTTATAGTGTTAGTTCTACATAGTAACAATGCTAGTGTAAAACTAGAACTAACACTATACCTAGAACTAGAATCATTCTGGTTTAGCCGTCTTTAGAGACGTGCGACTAAACCCAAATGATTCTAGTTCTAGGTATAGTGTTAGTTCTACATAGTAACAGTGCTAGTGTTACTAGTGTTACTAGTGTTCTACATAGTAACAGTGCTAGTGTTACTAGTGTTACTATGTAGAACTAACACTATACCTAGAACTAGAATCATTTGGGTTTAGCCGTCTTTAAAGACGTGCGGCTAAACCCACTATACTAGAACTAGAATCATTTGGGTTTAGCCGTCTTTAGAGACGTGCGGCTAAACCCAAATGATTCTACAGGATTAGCTGTAAGTTCTTAAGACGACCAAAACCGCAAGTTTCTAGTCTAGTGTTAGTTCTACCTTTAGTTCAACAAAGATATACAACAGTCTAGCGCTGAATAACAATTAAAACTAGAACTAATACTACAGCTAGAACTAGAAACATTCAGGTTTAGCAGTGCGTCTCTTAAGACGGCTAAACCCGAATGTTACTAGTTTTAGGTATATTGTACTTCCAGTGATAATACTAGTGACACGAAGTAATGAAAAAAAAAAAGATTTTTGTTATCTTTTATTTTTCTGGAAAATCGCCTCTTGTGTAAATTCTTGCAAAATTTGAGGTTGAGCAGAATTTCTAATTAACTTAGAACTGCACCGTATTTATACCATCAAACAGAGAAAAAAAATATTTTTGTCGTTTTGTATTTCTCAAGAAACAAGTTTTTCTTATATTTTTGCAAATTTTGGGTTG